TCTGGTAGACAACAGAATCAGCCTGGTTCTTTGTGTCTACAGCATCTCTTCTCTCCTTATCCTCCTTTGCAAACTTCTCAGCTTCCTTTACCATTCGACCAACCTGCACAATTTTAACAACAGAATAGGCAACAATTAACTATCTATACTTACATCCAAACCCAATGAATACACATATTAGTGCAAATAATTATTAGATGTCTTCCGAGCATTTTGTATGAGCATCAGAAGGAAACATACCTCATCGTTCGGCAAGGTACTAGCACCAGTAATAGTGATGTCCTGCTTCTTCCCAGTTCCCTTATCAACAGCAGTAACAGAGAGGATACCATTGGCATCGATGTCAAATTTGACTTCAATCTGCGGAACCCCCCGTGGTGATGGGGGGATACCATCAAGACGGAAACTGCCAAGAGATTTGTTATCCCTAACAAACTCTCTTTCACCTTGGAGTACATTAATCTCGACACTTGTCTGACCATCAGCAGCAGTTGAAAACACTTCGGATTTGGAGGTTGGCAGTGTTGTATTTCTTGGGATGATTTTGGTCATAACACCACCAAGAGTTTCTAGACCAATCGACAAAGGTGTTACATCCAAAAGCACAATATCACTGACATCTCCAGATAAAACACCAGCCTACAATCGAGTGACAGATGGTAAAAACATTATAAATAGAGCTTCAAACAATAAAATGAAAAAAATTCAGCAAAATCTAAATCAACCCTTTACATTCAACCGCAAAGGAACAAGTGCCCTAGAGCTATTGCTAAACTTAGACAAGAATAAACCAACCTGAACTGCAGCGCCTAAGGCAACAACTTCATCTGGATTGACTGTCACGTTAGGATCCTTGCCGGTCATCTTCCGCACAAGTTCCTGAACAGCAGGAATTCTTGTGGATCCACCAACGAGGATAACTTCATCAATGTCTTTGAAGGAAAGTTTAGCATCCCTCAAGGAATTCTCCACAGGAGTTTTAAGCCTTCATATTACAGTAAATAGACAAGAGAAACTTAAAGCCCTCAGTGTTTAAGCACAAAAATTACGAAGAATATCAACAGATTCTCCTTTTCTTTCTCTGTATCTTTTTTTTAATTGAACATGATAAAAAAAGATTGACATGATGGTGTATCTACCTGTCAAGTAGATCTGAGCACAATTCCTCAAACTTAACCCTGGTTATGGTGGTCTCAATGTGTTTAGGCCCATCAGCAGTGGCAGTTATGAAAGGCAAACTGGAACCCAAAAAGAAAAGGCTTTGTCATTAAGCACCGAGTAGAAAATGCACAAACAAAATACTTATACACGAAAGAGGAGAGAGATATGCCTTATGTTTGCCTGAGTCAAAGATGATAACTCCATTTTAGCTTTCTCAGCTGTCTCGGTTAACCGTTGAAGAGCTTGTTTGTCTTTCAAAACATCTATGCCTTCATCCCTCTTGAAGTTTTCAGCAAGCCAATCAACGATTCTCTGCACATTAAATAAGACATATAGTTCATACTTCAGCGCAGAAAGATACACATGAAACAAAGAACAACATTCAGATACATCAAGTACACCTACCTTATCGAAGTCATCACCACCCAAATGAGTGTCTCCAGACGTCGAAAGCACCTCAAACACTCCATCACCAACCTCAAGCACTGTAAAACAATACACAAATCAACAATCAAACATTCACTGATGCATTAACCAATTAACGATAAAACAAACAAACAACAAACAACAAAACCTTATTCCCATATGCAATGGGATAAGGGGAGGTAGCGTAGTAGACTGCCCCCATCGCCAGGTTAAGAGCAGCTTCCGTGAAAGACTTCCGACAGTCAGAAAATTTAAAATAAAGATAAAATGCAATGCATGTATATATAAATACATAGTTGAAACAATCTTTATATGCAATCTTCATATGCGCGTCTGTAATAGAATGTAATACCTATAAATGAATCCCTGCGTAAACATCTCTGCATATAGACAGAAACGTAAGACCCGACAAAATTTAAAAAGAGAAAACATGACGAGAAGGATACACAGAAAGTCAACGATAGCAAATAACGAGAAGGAATAAAGTCAAATGAGTTAAAACCTAAGCTAAGGCAACACTACTCTGCTAAGCCTTCATAAATTACAATGACATAGACGTAAGTAAAAAAAAATCATAGAAATTACTACAAAGGCATTAAAAGAGACCACTATATATATGTAGATAAATAGTTTCCCAACCATCCACCATACCTGAAACGTCGAATGTACCACCTCCGAGATCAAACACAAGGATGGTTTCATTGTTCTTCTTCTCGAACCCATATGCCAGAGATGCGGCTGTAGGTTCATTGATAATACGGAGAACCTCTAACCCAGCAATTCGACCCGCATCCTTCGTGGCGGTCCTTTGGGAATCATTGAAGTAAGCAGGGACAGTAACAACAGCTTTTGTCACTTTATCATTCAAGAATTTCGAAGCATCATCAACAAGCTTTCTCAAAACCTATATCCAAGAATAGAAACAACCCATTAGGCACATAAAGATTCGAAATTTCAAAGGAAAAACAGTTAATTACTTAAATTTGACTTAAAATGCAATTATGGATCGATGCCCAGACTTCAAAAAACTTGGTCAGTAATGCTTAATAAACTCAAGATTCCACAATTTTGGTTTTCAAAACATTTTCAATTTCTAAAGGTTAATAGTGTAAGTAAGAAGCCATTAATATAATATACCTGAGCTGAAATTTCCTCGGCGGCGAATTGTTTACCAATGGCAGGACAATCAAGCTTAACATTCCCGTTTTCATCTCTAATAACCCTGTACGAAATCTGTTTCGATTCCTCGTCCACTTCTGACATCTTCCTTCCGATAAACCTTTTCACCGAGAAAAATGTATTCTCGGGGTTAACGACGGCTTGCCGCTTCGCAATCTGCCCAACTAGCCTGTCCCCGGTCTTCGTATACGCCACCACAGACGGCGTCGTTCTCTGCCCTTCAGCATTCGTTACAATCGTGGGCTTCCCTCCTTCCATGGCCGCCACCGCCGAGTTTGTAGTCCCGAGATCGATTCCGACCACTTTCTCGTTCACAACTCTAACCGGCCCGACATTGTACCGTTGACCGTTGTTGTTAGTTTTAGCGAGCCGTAAGAAGGCGGCGTTTAACGGCGATACCCTGGCCACTCTTTGACCGAAGAAAACCCTTCTGGCTGAATGGTGATTGGGTTTTCTCGAGGAGGAGAAACCGATACCAAGGGCGTGGATTTGGGCAGTTGAAGAAGCCATTTTTTTACTTAAAATGTAATAAAATGAAATACTAACGATCAAAAGAAGGATGAATTGAGAGTGGATAAGCTAGGAAGAACCCAATTTCCCAGGAGAAAGCAGAGTTTGAACTGTTAGGCAATGGCAAAGTTTGGATTTGAAGTTGGAGAGAAGAAGATAAGAGTGGCGGAGAAGGCTAGAAAAGAGATTCTGGAAAGATCTAAGTGTTGGGTTTTGTTGATTTGATACTTTCATCAGTGTTTGGATGGCCAAAAAGATACAGGTAGCTGGAAATTTTGGGCTGAATGCCCAAATTTTCATTGCTTCGTACATCACTAAGTCTTGAACAAGGCAAAATTGGCCCACAGGCGAGACGGATGAAAAAATTAATCTATTAAGTTATTTTTACAATTAATTTAAGATATACGATAAATGTTATAGTGTAAGGTAAATTCGTCATGCTGACATGAAGAGTTTATTTAAATAATATTTTTTATTTAAATTCATCATGTTAAAGTGATGAGTTTTAATAAAATATAATTTTTTATTAAACTTTGTCACGTTAAAATGATTTCAATAAAAGTAATATATTTTATTAAAAAAAATTATGTCCATATGACGAGTTCCAAATAACTATAAAAAATATTATAGTTTTTAAAATAAAATATTTGATACTGTATTGAGTTGAGTTAAATAATTTATTGAGGGAGGGAGGGAGAGAAAGAGGGGAATATGCTAAATGTTTCCATAGCCAGGTCAAGAATTTCCAAAAATACATTTTGGTGTATCACCTTGATCACATTATCCATACTATTACTACTTTCGGCCCATACATTAGAGATGACACACCGATATAATTTTGTGAACTTTATATCGTACTCGTTCTAATTGCGGAGGTAAAGTTAGGTTGGTTATCTCTTAAAAATTTAAAATTATCATATATTTTAGATTATTTATGTATTTTATATAAAAATATATTTTCGTCTTCTAAAATTTTATAAGTTCAAGTTCATCCTTTTGAACATTTATATGTTCAAATTCATCCCCCTAATATATAATCATGTGTCCGTCCCTGGTGAGTAGAAGATAGATTTTAGACCTTACCCACTCTGCATCCGCCCGCCCCACATTCGTTTGCATACTAATTTTACCCACCATATAAATTTTGGATCATTATGAATTTATGTATAATTTAAGAGATTATTCTATAAATCTTAATATTTTATAAGACATGGTTTGTAATTTAACCAAATATTAGGATAAAAACTCAATTAATCTTTAATTTATTTTATTATGCTTATTGATGCATTTGTTCTATGTTTTGTTGTTTTTGCAATATGTAAGGCTGCTATCAAGCGAGTACAAGATAGGTGGTGGATATCCAATTGGGTAGTGGGTGCGAGGTTGAATCTGAGAATGTATTCGTGTGGACGGGTGTGGATTTAAAAATTTTATCTGTCCTAAGTGGTGGGTGGATGGTGATTACGAAGATATTATATGAGTATTGAGTATACGAAAAAATAAATCGAGTTTAAATATAATATTAAAAATTTAAACAAAAAAACTAAATATGATTAAATTTAAAAATAAATAAATAAAATATAATATTATTTATTTAAGCTCGATTCATTAACTCTTCTACGAAAGATAGATTCGATAACTTCAACCTATCCAATAAACATAAATTTCTACTAGGCCCAGTCTACCAGCCCGAGTTATTTGGGCCTCATACCTTTCAGAGAGCTCAAAATTCCCCTTCTAATTCAAAAACCCTTGTTTTCTCTCTGCCAAATTCACCATCGTTCCAGATTCCACAGCCTCAAAGGTTAGTCTTATTTCGCTTCCCTCCTCGGCGCCGATGTTTTAGCTTTCTCAGCACTTTCATTATTCATTTACTTATGGTTTACAATCCCTTGTTTTGCATCTATTTGGATTGAATAGATTGAATTGTTGAGCTGGGAATTGATCTTTTTTAGCTTGTTATGTTGAAATTTTAGATCCACACAGTGAGCGAAGTTTCGTTTTTAATTCACTGTCTTAACCACCGTTAGGGTTTAGCTTCGTGCTATTTGTTCTTCCTCCCCCCCCCCAAAAAAAAAACCTTTTGTTTTTAGCTTAACTCTGTATAATGGATACATGTTCTTTCAATTGAATCGAATTCCGTGTTTAACCTTCCTAGATCTTTTGACTCGTTGTCTTGCTTAACTCTTTTTTGTTTGTTACTGTGAATTTTATGTTTTAATAGTAAAGTTTGTTACTTTATCTCATTGTTAAGATTAAGATTTTTGTAGAGTAACTTGCTTGTATTTCATGTGGCAATGGCATAATTATGTACCTTTCTGTTTATTAACTTGTTTTTGGTATAATTATGTATCACCCCTTTGTGAGTTTGTTCCTGTTTGTTGTACCTTGTTGATCTGCTTCGAAATCGAAGTTACACTAATTTTTCGTGTTTTGATGTAATTGAAAGTTAGTACGGCATATCTAGTCTATTCGAATCACGTTCTTTGATTAGTTGAACTGTTTTAATGGTTTGCTGGATACTTTCTTCTTTTTTGTTTATGCTCTTATCCGCTTCCGAGAAGTTTGTGTTATTATTGTTGGCATGTTGGGAAAAGGGACGGGATCATAGTTACGTTAGTTTGCATTATGAGTTATGAAGTCTAGGCCAGGATGGACCAGTGCCATCTAGATACAATCATATATCTTTTATGTAAATGTTTGTTTTCTATAATATTATATTACAGGTTGTAGCCGAGACAAGTGTATTTTTGTACCTGCTGATTACCAACCCAAGGTTAGGAGATGGAGATTGTTCGGAGGGAGGGTGAAAGTGCTTTGTCAGGTCCAAGGCCTATGGAATGGTCTACTGTTGCGTACGCTCCTCAAGGACCAGACAGAAATGGAAACAAACGTACATCGAGTCTGGAGTCACCGATAATGTTGCTTACCGGACATCAGAGTTCCATATATACCATGAAGTTTAATCCAGCTGGGACTGTCATCGCATCTGGTTCGCATGACAGAGAAATTTTTATGTGGAATGTCCATGGAGACTGCAAAAACTTCATGGTTCTAAAAGGGCACAAGAATGCAGTTTTGGATCTTCATTGGACAACCGATGGATCCCATATAATATCGGCTAGCCCTGACAAAACGTTGAGAGCATGGGATGCTGAAACAGGGAAACAAATCAAAAAGATGGCGGAACACTCTTCTTTTGTGAATTCATGCTGTCCGTCACGGAGAGGACCACCTCTCGTCGTTAGTGGATCCGATGACGGAACAGCGAAACTTTGGGATATGCGTCAGAGGGGTGCCATCCAGACATTTCCCGATAAATACCAAATTACAGCTGTCAGTTTCTCCGATGCATCAGATAAAATCTTCACGGGTGGCATCGACAACGATATCAAGGTTTGGGACTTACGAAAAGGTGAAGTAACCATGACACTTCAAGGCCATCAAGACATGATAACAGGTATGAGTTTGAGTCCTGACGGTTCTTACCTTCTCACCAATGGCATGGATTGCAAACTCTGCATATGGGACATGCGCCCTTACGCACCACAGAATCGCTGCGTAAAGATTTTCGAAGGGCACCAGCACAACTTCGAGAAGAACTTGTTGAAATGTGGCTGGTCACCAGATGGAAGCAAAGTCACAGCCGGTAGCTCGGATAGGATGGTGTACATATGGGACACAACTTCTCGACGCATCTTGTACAAGCTTCCTGGCCACACAGGATCCGTGAATGAATCCGTCTTTCATCCTAACGAATCGATCATCGGTTCGTGCAGTAGCGATAAACAGATTTATCTAGGGGAGTTCTGAATTGTGCCATGGCTTCTGCCGCTCGCTACCAAACTGATTGTTGTTGATCGGAAGAGTAAACTTAGAGAGGTCTTATCGTCCCAAGTAGGAAAGTTGTGTTTTCTCTGTATTTTGCTATTTTATAGCCTGGATTAAACAACAATTATAACTACTTCAATCGCCATCTCTTTCATTTTTATTCTTCCTCCTCAAGTTTATGATAGTCATTCTCAATGAAAGTTCATCTTCAATCTCTTCAACAGTCTTCACTTTCAATATTTCTAACGGTAAATTGCATGTTTAGTATACGAGTTAGCATTTTTATTCTGTTTTAGTCACCTAATTATTTATTTTTCAAAATCATACCTAACATTACTTTGATTTTATTTTGTTACCCATCCTTATAAAAAATTAAGGCAAAAAGGCATTAGAGATCCTTGTACTTTTGAAGAAAAACCAATGTCGCCCTCGTATTCTTTTTTTTAATGTGGCATTCCAACTCAGAAAACGAACATAATGTGGTCTTTTTACCAATGTTTTCCTATCGTTAATTGTTATTGTGTTGACAGGGCAATTCATAATACTGACATAGCAGTCTATAATGCTTACATGACAGTTCTCTTGTCATATTTGAGTTACCAATTTAGTACATCTGTAATGTTATCCGTCACATTATCAACAACAATGGACTACAATGTCAGCAACGTGGATCGTCACATCAGTACCGTGGATCGCCACATTGGAACTGTAACGATCAACGTCGAAAAACATTGGTTAAAGGGCCACATTGAGATAAAAAAAATACGAGGTTCACATTGTTTTTTAAGTTGAACATCTAATGCCTTTTTTTTCCAAAAATTAATAGAACCGTTGATGTGATATTTTTTATTTTTTTAATAAGAGAAAATAACCCCAGTGACCGAAAATGTCTTATAATATACGATTTTAACTAACTTTTTTTGGATTTGCCAAAATGACCAACAAAATTGCGAACTATAATTTTTCAACTCAGTTTCCAAATTCGCAACGCGATTTTGCGATAGTCTAAGTTCGCGTTGCGATAGTCCAAAATCGCAACGACTAGTGGTATTGCATTTATTTCTTAAGAATTTTCTCTAAAAAGATAGTATTCGCGCAGACGTGTCGAAGACAGTCCCCCTTGCTCTCTTCCACTCAACAAGGAAGTGAGAAATCCAAGCCTTAAATACCAATTCCCAATAGTGTTTCCAATACTATGTGTGATTGAACATTGCCAACACTTGGGAATCTTTTACACTATCGCAACAAATTATGTATTGTTTCAAACTCCACGTGAATTTGGACTAGTTAAAATGTAAACTTATTTTGGATTTTTCACTATCGCAACAAATTTTCACTATCACAACAACACGTTTTTCAAACTCTCGCAACACATTCACATTTTTCAAAATCGCGTTGCGAATCTTATAATCGCGTTGCAAATCTGGATATTCGCGTTGCGAATTTAGAAACTAAGTTGGAAAATTAGAGTTCGCGTTGTGATTTTATTGGTCATTTTGACAAATCCAAAAAAAAAATTGGTTAAAATCGTATATTATAAAGCATTTTCGGTCACTGAAGTTATTTTCTCTTTTAATAATGACATAAAATTACCTTACAGTTACTCATCGCCATTTTAGTGACCTATCGTTAAAAAATAAAATAAAAAAGACATCACTTTAGAAAAAGAACCAATGTTGTCCTCAATGAATAAATTGGGTTACAAAAGTCGCAACCACATGGATTTTTATAATATTCAATTTGAATTAATTGATTAATAAATTAATTATAAGTGATTATATCGAACTAAAAACACAAGCCTTGACTATGGTTGTTCATTCGGTAGCCGACTGAACTAAATTATCATTAATCGAATTAATCAGATTTTTTTTTCTTTAACCGTTAACCGAACCTAATTTTTTTTCGATAATATTAACCGAACCGAATAAAATTCGGTTAATTTTCGAATTAACCGAAATTTTTTAAAATTTTATAATTTATATAAAAATTAAATATTTTTTAATTAAAAAACATTTTATAATTAATTTAAATAATATATAATTATAAAATAAAAATTTTATATAATTTTTTTAATTAATTAATATTGATTTAGGTTTAAAAATTATTGGATCTTAAATTATTAATTGAGTCTTAAATGATTTAGGTTGAGTTCATATGTTATATGTAATATATTTAATTTTTTTAATTAAAAAAAACAGTTTACAATTAATTTAAATAATATATAATTATAAAATAAATTTTTTATATAATTTTTTATTAATTAATATTGATTTAGGTTTAAAAGTTATTGGATATTAAATTATTAATCGTATTTTAAATGGTTTGGGCTGAGCCCATATGTTATATATAATATATTTAATATTTAAAATTTAATTTCGGTTAATTAACCGATTTTGAATCGAATTAACCATTAACCGAATTCTAAAATTTTTCTTAACCGTTAACCGATCGAACTAATTCAATTTGATCGATTAACCGAATTAATTCGAAAATTTAAACACCTCTAACCTCGACAAGTTGAGGAGACATTAGGCCTAGCACGGGGCGGCTCTCCCAGCAAAGGCTAGGCCATGATTGGCTCTAGCAATAGCTCCAAATTCTCATAATGTAAACACAACTGCATGTGTAGGAAAAAAGTAATAAAAAAAGCTTAATTTTACTATTTTTTTCCTAATTGGCTGGCTGATGGTCTCTGTCAAGGTGGACTTTAAAACCATTATTCCCATTCTTCTCACTTTCTTTTACTTGTTGACACTTTGCAATTTGGGGGAAATTAGAAGAAAACAAAAATAATGTTCCCATTTTTAAAATGGTAAATTACGCATTTAATACCAAATATCACTTTTTAATTGTTAAATACCTAAGCTTTCAATATTTTCAAAACCATCCATAACTTTTATTTTTATTTCATTTTAGTATCTTACAGCTAAATACTTAACACGTTTAGTATTTAAACTACCAGTTTCAGTCTGTGTTAGTATCTAGACTTTCAGTTTTTTAAAACTCGACGTTAAGTTGGGTACTAAAATGAAATATAAATTAAATTTAATTATTAACAACTACAATTGATAATTTATGTACTAAAAGTATAATTTATCATGGTAAAAAAGAGGTTGTTAAATGCGCTTTCTAAATGTCACTTTTTCTCCAAAATAATGGTTATATAAATTGGGGTTTAGTTCATATAAAAATATTTGGGTTTTAAATTAAAGGCAACAATGTATTAAAGGTCTCTGTACTTATTAAAGGTCTCTGTACTTTAAAAAAATAATGTGACTCTCTAATTCATAAAATAAACTCAATGTGGTCATTTGACCAATATTTTTTACCGTTGACCGTTATGGTGCTAATGTGACGATTCGCGATGCTGACGTGGTAGTCCACAGTGGTTGATAACGTGACAGATAACATGATAGGTGAGTTAAATTGGTAACTCAAACATGACAAATTGACTACCACTTTAGCATCGCGAATCACCACGTTAGTATTGTGAACTGCCACATCAACACCGTAACAATCAACGACAAAAAACGTTGGTCAAAGGATCACATTGTATTTGTTTTTCTAGTTGAAGGACTACATTGACAGAAAAAATGATACGATGGCCACATTAATTTTTTTAAAAAGTACAGGTAAGTGTGACATATGCCTAAATTAAACGAGGACAAAATTTGGTTTGAATCGATTGAAATATCATATTTTAACATTGGACTTGGTTTGTTTTTGTGTTAAAATTATTTGTTGCGACGGGAATGGTTCATATAAAAAAAATTAGCTGACCCTATTCCCATGTGTAATGGGGTAAAGGAGAGGTAGGATAGTAGGTTTTCCCCAACGCCAGGTTGAGAGCAGCTTCCGTAGGAGACATCCGGTTGTCAGAATTATGAATTGCCCACCGTGAGACTCAATCCCACGACCACAAAGTTAAAAGCTTTACACTCTAACCAACTGAGCTGGACAGACAATTCACGGGAATGGTTCATATAAATGTACTAATCCTAGATGCTTTAAACACGTGAATATCGACAATCTTAATTGTCATTATCAAACCAACAAAAAACATGGATGACGTTCTAAATCCAAACTTAGTTCGACTCGTACATATTCTCTAAAAAAACGATTTAATTTGACTCAATTATGTTTTTTTCAAAAAGAAATCGACCTAATCAAATAAAGTCAGATCAAAACTCGTTAGATTCGGATCCCATACTCATCCCTAACGGGCCACGTTTCGGAAGAAGAGAGGAAGTTTATATTATCTTATATTTGTGTTGTATGGATAGCCTTATCTTTGTTCATTCATTTTTATATACTTTTTCTTTTATTAATTATGAATTAATTGAAAAAAAATCATCAAATTTCTTGATATATAATACAATTTTCATCGCATTGATTAACGAAACAAAATAAGATGGGTAAAATCGAATATCTTATTCCTAAAATTTAATAAATTTAAAATTTTCAATTCTAAATTGTTGGTGTGACGCAGAAATATTATATTTTTAATTTTAATCTCTTGTCATATTTAATATCTGACTTGATTATAAAGTTAGTGTTCAAACTATATCGTTTTTTTAATAGGTGTCCAATTTTTTTTTGAATGATTCAAGTGTCTAACGTTATAAACGTTACCACTTTAGGTGTTCATGTTGTAACTGTCGTTAATTTTCTCTGTTAAGAGACACGTATTACATTCTAGTAATTTTAATTTTTTTTAAAATAAAATATCATTATATTTATAAAAAACCCTAATTTATATTTAATTACAAAAAAATCCAAAACCCTAAAAGTCTTAAATCCTTAACGCTAACCCATCGTCACGCCCTTGCTGACCACGACCACCACCGTCGATATAGTCCTTGCCATCTTCCTAGTCATATATCGTCATAGCTGTTGTCGATTAGTCGTCGGGATCGCGTGGGGTAGGAATTAGTCATCGAGAGGGAGGTGAGTTCGGGTGGAGCTTCGCCGACAGTAAATGGTGGTAGTCGGCGTGAGTTTAGGGGTTTAAATAATGGATTTCAAAGTTTTGGGGCTATTTTTAAATTTGTGTTTTTTAAATATAATTTTAATTTTTTAATTTTAAATAAAAAATTTACAATTACCAGAATGTGATACATATCACTTAACGACAAATTTTAACGTCGGTTACGACCCGAACACCTAAAATAATAATGTTTGTAACATTCGGTACCTGGATGATTCAAAAAAGTTT